AACAGGAAGATACGTCATTCGGTTTAAGGATAAGGGATGTAAGAGATTAAGAGCACTATGTGAATATGAATATTTAGATCGTCTTCAACCGCTGCAAACAATGATTTCCTCACATCTTTGGTAGCCTTCTTTACTTATACGGTTTATAAACATGGTATACAAGAAGTATGATTTTTGAACTGCCGAGAGAGTCACTGAGTGGGCTGCTTGTCTGCAGAAGGGGTCTCGTTGGTAATTATGAAATTGCCATAAAATGTCGTCAACAATAAACGTTAGTTTGATGGCTTGAATTTTCGTCCACTCTTTTATGATGGATTTTTACAAAACACAAGAAAATTCACTGTCTAAACTACCGTGTACAAAATGACAAAGTACAAATAAGTATTAATCATGTTAGAGCTTGGTCACAGTATAGGAATATACAGTAGTGCCACTTCGCTGTGCAACTGTCTGCTGTATATTTAATTAGTTTACTGGCTGCTGTTTGCCATATCGTCAATCCTATTCGTTACACAATGCAATTTACTGGCTGCAAATAGGGTAATCACGTGCGTAATAAGATATGCGTGGCACGAAAAAGTTCAATAGAGTGGCCCTACTGTATGTTCTCTATACTATAGCTTGGTTGCATTGGTTTTACTTTTCAGAAACTAGCACGGTAAATCCATCACTTGCTTATTGTGTTAGAATTCTGTGGTCGCCCGCAATCAGTGTATCAATATGTGGAATATTTGATAGACAAGTCCTGCACTTTTGAAAGTGTTGAACAAGAATAGAAATTTAAGCTAATGCAGATGACAGACGTTTGATATTCAATCACTCGCATTTTTCTTTTTCTAGTAGTTTAAATGTTGAAACAACATTTTTTTCAAATAGGGTGGAGTATCTATGATGTTTATCATTTCAGTTCTTCGTTTTCGTGCAATAGTTCATCCATTGAAACTTTCCTTCAGTGGACGAAAGATAAAAATCGTTCGTGGCTTATCGTACATCATTGGTTTGGTTACAGCAGTTTTATTTACTAATCCACAGTGCATTAAATTTCCTCGACGTCGTTATTACATTAACGAATGGCTGCCTTTTTTTTGCCTGTTTCTACATTTTCCCAATAATATTCATGACTGTAACTTACCCATAATCGCTCGAGCATTGATCAAACAAAGAAAATCCCTAAGAGCATTCCATAATGCAACACCGTCTCATTTTCAATGCTCCTCCATTTCAAGTTCTCAAAGATATACTCGGGGTTTAAAAACGTTTTTCGTTTGTGCAATAACGGTTCTCTGTTTTCCCGTTGGTCATATTTATTATATGACAGCTAATGGATTGCATTTGTTTTATTCTGCTGAAACTAACACGGTAAACTAATCAGTTGTTTATTGTGTAAGAATTTTGGGATCACACGCTGTCAATCCATTAATCTATGGAATATTTGACAGAAATGTTTTGTACTTTTGGAAGTGGTGCACAAGAAGATAATTATTAGCTAATTCAGATAACAGGACGTTTGGCAATTGCTTACATGTTTCCTGTTTTAAAGTTTAAACTGTTTACGTCTAATTAATGTTTCAAAAACAAATCCTTTATTGAGTCAGTATCAGAACCAAGAAGACCTCTAACGTGCTTACTGAAAAAATATTTTCTTCGAATGATACACGTTGAAACCTAAAACTAACTAGAATAAAATCAAAGTTAGCTGCACATTACAGTTTTCAAGTAATCTTTACATAGATCCCGAATAAGACAATTTTTCCAAAATAATGAAAATTGTTTTTAACTATATTGTATTTCAACCTGTCATTCACGTGGAATATTTGACAATTAAATAGAGTGTTGTTTTGAAATAGCATAAGAGAACTAGGATACTGAAACATGAGCGAGTGTATTTCGAATGTTTAAAACAATAAGTTAGAATGAATGAGAAAGAGCAGTTGCGTAAACTTGTACTGCTATATTTTAAAACAATTTACTTGAACAACTTAAAAACTAATGAACCGTTTTTCATGGCATTTGGAAAGTGAAATATAGAAAAAATGAAAAAGCTAGAAATTCTCGTAAAAACGTCATTTCTCGTTTCCGTCAGTTTATGCTTGTTTCCATGACCTTAAATATTGACAAGCATTTGATCATTGATGTTATTGATATTTTATGGAATTTCATGTAATGATTTTGCCTAAAACAGTCAAAATTTATTGTTCAATATGGTTTTTCGTCGAATAAAATATGATAAATTTGGATACTTTTGAATGCGCTTTGTCTTAGGGAACATGCCTATTCACATTTCAGCTGTGATGAGACGTTACGTGCATTTGCTTTTATTTAACTGCAATAATATTTTAAAATTAAATATTGTAAAAAGCATTAAGTTTTGTTGATGTTTGGTTATGTAATTACGCATTATAAACTTTCATGAATTCTGATTGGTCAGTATAGCTAACATGGAAGGCAGCAAGCTATATAGCACCTTTTTTCAGTATTTTACTTACAGATCACCAAAAAACCAAATTCGTTTTGGTATTTGCAAAGCGAAATACAGAAATATACAGACCACTCCAAAACGTATAGTAAGTCAATTATATCTATCATATTTTTATCTTGGAAATTTTCTTTGTGTTGAGTAGTGCAATATCCACATTTGGTATTTTGAAATACTCTTGTGATCGCTTCAATATTAAAACAAAAGATTCTGTTAAAGAAGAACTATTACTTTTTTGTCTTACATCTCGCGATATGTGACGCATTTGTATTGATATTAAGTGTTTTATATATGTTGAAAACTAAATCATTTTGGTTGGCTTGCTCAAGAGGCAGCTTAGATGTTTTTTTTCAAATAAGTGGAGTATCTATGATGTTAATCATTTCAGTTCTACGTTATCGTGCCATAGTTCATCCATTGAAACCTTGGTTCAGTCGACGAAAGATAAACATCGTTTGTGGCTTAGCGTACATCATTAGTTTGGTTGCGGCAGTTGGAAAAGTAATTGTCAAGTGCGTTGACGATCCTGAACGTCGTTATTACATTTACGAAGTGCTTCCGTTTTTTTTATGTGCCCACATTTTCCCAATAGTCTTCATGACTGTGACTTACTCCATAATCGCTCGAGCATTGATGAAACAAAGAAAAGCCCTAAGAACATTCTCCAATGCAACACCGTCTCATTTTCAATACTCCTTCAACTCAAGTTCTCAAAGATATATTCGAAGTTTGAAAACATTTATTGTTTGTGCTTTAACGGTTCTCTGTTTTTCAGTTGGTCAGATTTATTATATGACAGCTTGATTTCAGAACTATTATAATGCAGAAACTAACGTGATACATTATTTTGTTGGTGTTTGTGTTAAGATTCTTGCCTCAAACGCTGTCAATCCATTAATCTATGGAATATTTGACAGACAAGTTTTGTACTTTTGGAAGTGCTGTACAAAACGATTTTAGCAAATGCAGATAACAAAACGTTTTTAATCACTTGCATGTTTCCTGTTCTAATCTAGTAGTGGAGATGTTTAAAAATTTTAATATCTTCAAACAAGAATTATACCTTTACAAATTTAATAATAGAATTAAGTAGAAGGAAGACCTCTGAAGCGTTCTTTAAAATTTAATTTCTTTGGATAAAAAACACGGAAACTAACCAAAATAACTTAAATTTATCTACAAAATACCTTAATAGGCCGTGATCTGTGCCTCAAAAATATGCTTTAAAAATGAGTTTCGTTGGACACCTCAAGGAAGGTCGCAAAATTTTCAAAATAGATAGAAAGTCACTTGCTGTTTGATATTCTTTTTATTGTCACTTCTAAAAAGCTGCAGTTTTTTAGTATTTCGCGGTTGAATTTCAAAATTCCTCGCTCCTTCAATTTTGAATGTCGCCATTTTTTTGGTGCGGAACTCTCTGATCTAACTGCCGTTGTTATGGTGAGGCAAATTTATTAACGGCGCCATCTTGAAAGGTGGCAAAAAAGCGATATTCTTAATAAAGTCCAAGTAAAATGTAAGTTTTAAATGAAGAATTCTGTCGAAAATTTTGGGAGCAAACCTAAACTGTCACCTTTGCACTTATGTATCAACATAGGAGAAGCCTGTTTTAGACCTAAATCTTGTCAGTTTTAAGAACTCATGGTTAAATCGTGCGCAACTTCACTTTTCGAAGGATAGCAACGCATCTTTCCATAAATTTTTCCTTAAACACTAAAGCTTGGTAAGAAATTGATCATTACCACTAAAGAATTTTTTTGTTAATAAGCTTTTAAAGAGGCACATCATTATGCATAGGCCTAAGATTAATGTAAAAATTGTAGAACAAACATTTAGCAGCTTACAGCTATGTTACAGATTCCATAAAGTACATGCTTTTCTGATTAACCTGCTTTAAGTGATGCAAGAGCAAAAATAAAGTTTTAAAAGTATTGCTATCAGGCTATTAGACTCACTAAACACAAGAATTACTTTGATTCAATGTTTTGACCACTCTTTCTACAAGTTCACTCCACATAGGATAAGTGAAGTCCATTCTTTACTTTGGAAGAGTAGAATTCTGAAATTTCTCTTTTTAAATATAGAAGGACAACATTTTTTTTGGTTTTGTAGAACCTACACTAAGCATTAAAGTGCTTGCTCACTTACTTCTAACAGAGGATCTTGTCTCCATTACATACCAATGTCCCAAAACCATCTTTAGTTGCTGTTTCCATGCATTGATTATATAAAGAATGACTTCAAAAATAATTCAGATATTCTTTATTTTAAATCAACATTATAAACTTTTATCAAAGGACACAGAGTAAATTAGTTTGTATAGATCAAAATCATAACTACATTTCTTGTTGAGAAATATATATACAGGATCACTTTTTCAATCAATGTGCCAGAACTTTTTCACTCTCCTTTTCATGGTATGACAAAGACAACTTTTATCTATGAAAGTCCTCGCTAATCAAATTTACAATAAAACAAGTTTCAACCCAAGCAAAACCCCAGCTTTCTGGCTTCTGAAATGGCTCACTGAAAAATATTCTTTCTTGAACTGTAAAACATGATCTTGAGCATAAAGCCTTAACTGAAGATTAACAATCATTACAACCTATGAAAGAGATTGTTGAAAAATACAAAAGTTTACCACTTCTGACATATTGTAAACAAATAGTAACTAAGTTTGTTCTAAGAATCATATAATGTTGAGTTCTAGCTTGCTGTTTTGAGATTTTATGCTTCTTAACTGAGATTTTAACTTCTTTTGCAAAATACCTCTCAGTTGTATACAGAATGCAATAAGAATGACTTTAGCAATATTTACACTAACTCTTGATTAGCAATGGAAGTTTATGGAACTTACATTTTTGTACCAAGCCGCGCTTTGGCCTTTCTGTTTACAACCACAAATGGATATTACTCCTCCGGATGAAAATGGGTGGCAAACGAGTGACGGGAAACTGCAAGTCTGAAATCGTATGGATGACCATTCCCCTAGCGCCGAATTCCCTACTTGATAACGTTCATTGTGGTTGTAAGACTGGCTGCAACCTGGCTGTAACTCCCAACGTTGTTTATGTAACGAAGCAGGAGTGAAGTACACAGATGTATGGTCGTGTACTGCATGCACGAATGTAGATATTGATGACGACAATGATGTTGAGGAAGGAAGAGGAGTTTTTAGATGATGACATTGACGACGAATTCGAGACAGACCTTTAAAAAAAGCGCGCCTTGTCTTGCACAATACGATTATAACTTTCAAAATATTATCTTCGCAACAATTGCTAAAATCCAACCTAATGCACGAGTAAAATATGTATTTCTTTCAGACATTTTATTTATGTTCCCAGTATTATCGTGCAGAATAGCTCTCTATTAGGTCTGGCACTAGCACACAAAATATAAATAACATGAAGTTTCCTAGGAAAATGGGGGATTCCGAAATTGTAATGAGCTACAAATTTTAAAATTTTAATGTAATATAGCAATAAAACTGCAGCTTTTTGGAGATGACAAGAAGTAAAACTGCGTTAAGCATGTAAAAGTCGTTCTGTCTTGAATTTTTCACGACCTTCCTTGAGGTGTCCAACGGGAATGAAAGAAAATCGGTCACAGATCACAGCCTATAAGCAATATATACGTGCACACTAGAACCCAAATAAGTAATGACACTCGTCGTCATTTTTCTAGAAAATAATAAAGTTTCTTCATTATAATACTATTTTTCAATTTTTTCTCCTGTGGAATGTTGGATAAGTGTTGATGCATGTTCTTTTAAAGATTCGAGAGAGAAATGAAAGACAGAAAGATAAAAGTAAATTATTAATGAATAGAACCTAAAATGGCTTTGCATTCAGAGAAAAGCAAGTTAAAATAAATTAGTGTCCTTTTCCACTTTTAAAAACAATGCTTGTTTCCTATAAGATGACCACTGTTTGAAATATCTTGTATAACATATAAACGAGATGAACAATAAGGTCGAAAAAAAAATGAACATAAAGGTCCACGTAAAGATAGAAAAAGGTAGATATGTGTGTGATAGAGACAAGTTAGAATGTTTACAATTACAAAATGGTGTTAAAATGTTTCATTTGTTTGTTAAGATCGGTTTTTGTTTGCATATGTGTAAAGCTTCATCAAGTTAGAAGCTTTACAAAGAAATTAAGTGTTGGTGGTGTCTAGGATAGAGAAACATGAGCGAGTGCATTTGGAGTATTTAAAACATTAAGTTAGAACTAATAAGAAAGAACAGATGCGTAAACTTGTACTGCTATATTTTAAAACAATTTAATTCAACAACTTCGTAACTTATAAACACTTTTTCATGGCATTTGGAAAGAGTAATATAGTCAAATGAAATAGCTAGAAATTCCGGTAGAAAAGTCATTTTTCGTTTCCGTCAGTATATGCTTGTTTTAATGACCTTAAATATTGACAAGCATTTGATCATTGAGGTTATTGATACTTTATGGAATTTAATGTAATGATTTTGCCTAAAATAGTCAAAATTTGATGAATATATGATCTTCGCACTTTGCTGGACAAGTTAAGCAATTGTCTCATGAACCAGAAAAATTCGGGTGACTCAACGGGATCCCGTTGTATTTTTCAGGTTCATGAGACAATTGCTTAAATTGTCCAGCAAAGTGCGAAGATCATATCTTCATCTAATTTCAAACACCGCACTGCATAAAACATCCTTTCACAGTCAAAATTTATTGTTCAATATGGCCTTTCGTTGAATAAAATGTGGTAGATTTGGATACTTTTGAATGCGCTTTGTCTTAGGGAACGTGCCTATTCACATTTGCAGCTGTGATGAGACGTTACGTGCGTTTGCTTTTATTTAACTGTAATAATATTTTAAAATTAAATATTGTAAAAAGCATTAAGTTTTGTTGATGCTTGGTTATGTAATTACGCATTATAAACTTTCATGAATTCTGATTGGTCAGTATAGCTAACATGGAAGGCAGCAAGCTATATAGCACCTTTTTTCAGTATTTTACTTACAGATCACCAAAAAACCAAATTCGTTTTGGTATTTGCAAAGCGAAATACAGAAATATACAGACCACTCCAAAACGTATAGTAAGTCAATTATATCTATCATATTTTTATCTTGGAAATTTTCTTTGTGTTGAGTAGTGCAATATCCACATTTGGTATTTTTGGAAATACTCTTGTGATCGCTTCAATATTAAAACAAAAGATTCTGTTAAAGAAGAACTATTACTTTCTTGTCTTACATCTCGCGATATGTGACGCATTTGTATTGATATTAAGTGTTTTATATATGTTGAAAATTAAATCATTTTGGTTGGCTTGCTCAAGAGGCAGGTTAGATGTTTTTTTTCAAATAAGTGGAGTATCTATGATGTTAATCATTTCAGTTCTACGTTATCGTGCCATAGCTCATCCATTGAAACCTTGGTTCAGTCGACGAAAGATAAACATCGTTTGTGGCTTAGCGTACATCATTAGTTTGGTTGCGGCAGTTGGAATAGTAATTGTCAACTGCGTTGACGATCCTGAACGTCGTTATTACATTTACGAAGTGCTTCCGTTTTTTTTATGTGCCCACATTTTCCCAATAGTCTTCATGACTGTGACTTACTCCATAATCGCTCGAGCATTGATGAAACAAAGAAAAGCCCTAAGAACATTCTCCAATGCAACACCGTCTCATTTTCAATACTCCTTCAACTCAAGTTCTCAAAGATATATTCGAAGTTTGAAAACATTTATTGTTTGTGCTTTAACGGTTCTCTGTTTTTCAGTTGGTCAGATTTATTATATGACAGCTTGATTTCAGAACTATTATAATGCAGAAACTAACGTGATACATTATTTTGTTGGTGTTTGTGTTAAGATTCTTGCCTCAAACGCTGTCAATCCATTAATCTATGGAATATTTGACAGACAAGTTTTGTACTTTTGGAAGAGCTGTACAAAACGATTTTAGCAAATGCAGATAACAAAACGTTTTTAATCACTTGCATGTTTCCTGTTCTAATCTAGTAGTGGAGATGTTTAAAAATTTTAATATCTTCAAACAAGAATTATACCTTTTACAAATTTAATAATAGAATTAAGTAGAAGGAAGACCTCTGAAGCGTTCTTTAAAAATTTAATTTCTTTGGATAACAAAACACGGAAACTAACCAAAATAACTTAAATTTATCTACAAAATATCTTAAGCAATATATACGTGCACACTAGAACTCAAATAAGCAATGACACTCGTCATTATTTTTTTAGAAAATAATAAAAGGTTTTCTTCTTCATGATACTATTTTTCAATCTTTTCTTTTGTGGAATGTTGGAAAAGTGTTGATGCATGTCGTTTAAAGATTTTAGAGAGAAATGTAAATGACAGAAAGATATAAGTAAATTATTAATAAATGGAACCTAAATGGCTTTGCATTCAGAAAAAAGCAAGTTAAAATAAATTAGTGTCCTTTTCCACTTTAAAAAAAATGCTTGTTTCCTATAAGATGACCACTGTTTGAAATATCTTGTATAACATATAAACGAGATGAACAATAAGGTCGAAAAAAAAATAAACATAAAGGTCCACGTAAAGATAGAAAAAGGTAGATATGTGTGTGATAGAGACAAGTTAGAATGTTTACAATTAGAAAATGGTGTTAAAATGTTTAATTTGTTTGTTAAGATCGGTTTTTGTTTGCATATGTGTAAAGCTTCATCAAGTTTGAAGCTTTACAGAGAAATTGAGTGTTGGTGGGGTATGCGTAAACTTGTACTGCTATATTTTAAAACAATTTAATTCAACAATTTCGTAACTTATAAACAGTTTTTTCATGGCATTTGGAAAGAGTAATATAGAAAAATGAAATAGCTAGAAATTCCGGTAGAAAAGTCATTTTTCGTTTCCGTCAGTTTATGCTTGTTTCAATGACCTTAAATATTGACAAGCATTTGATGATTGAGGTTATTGATACTTTATGGAATTTAATGTAATGATTTTGCCTAAAATAGTCAAAATTTGATGAATATATGATCTTCGCACTTTGCTGGACAAGTTAAGCAATTGTCTCATGAACCTGAAAAATTCGGTGACTCAACGGGATCCCGTTGTATTTTTCAGGTTCATGAGACAATTGCTTAAATTGTCCAGCAAAGTGCGAAGATCATATCTTCATCTAATTTCAAACACTGCACTGCATAAAACATCCTTTCACAGTCAAAATTTTTTGTTCAATATGGCCTTTCGTCGAATAAAATGTGGTAAATTTGGATACTTTTGAGTGCGCTTTGTCTTAGGGAACGTGCCTATTCACATTTGCAGCTGTGATGAAACGTTACGTGCGTTTGCTTTTATTTAACTGTAATAATATTTTAAAATTAAATATTATAAAAAGCATTACGTTTTGTTGATGTTTGGTTATGTAATTACGCATTATAAACTTTTATGAATTCTGATTTGTTAATATAGCTAACATAGAAGGCAGAACAATTTATATAACAACTTTGTTGAGTATTTCACTTACTGAGCAACGAAAAACCAGAAATATACAGACCATTCCAAAACGTATAGTTATTCAATCATATCCATCATATTTTTATCATGGAAATTTTCTTTGTGTTGAGTATTGCAATATGCATACTTGGTATTCTTGGAAATGCTCTTGTGATCGTTACTATATTAAAGCAAAAGATTCTGTTAAAGAAGAACTACTACTTTCTCGTCTTACATCTCGCAATGTGTGACGCATTTATACTATTGAGTATATTTCTCTTTGAGATCTTTGAACACCATTTGAAAAGCAATCCATTTTTGTTCAGCTGCTTATATGTAAACGACATAGATACTTTTTTCAAGTAAGTGGAGTATCTATGATGTTGATCATTTCAGTTCTACGATATCATGCAATAGTTCATCCATTAAAAGTTTCCTTTAGTCGAAGAGAGATAAAAATCGTTTGTGCCTTAGCGTACGTCATTGGCTTGGTTACGACAGTTGGAATGATATTTCCCAAGTGCGTTGTGGATCCTCAAGATCGTTATTACATTTACAAAGTGTTTGCCTTTATTTCATGTTTCTACATTTTCCCAATAATCTTCATGGCATTGACTTACTCCAAAGTGGCTCGAGCATTGATGAAACAAAGAAAAGCACTACGAACGCTCTCCAACTTGACACGTTCTCATGTACATTCCTCCACCAGCTCAAGTCTTTGAAGATATATTCAAAGTTTGAAAACATTTTTTGTTTGTGCACTAACGGTACTTTGTTTTTCAGTTGGTTATAGTTATTATATAACATCTCGGTTGCAGG